TTATCTTTGCATGCAAGAAATAATAAATGATAGTATGATCAGACATGGACATATACCCATGCTAGTCCTTATATGCATAGCATGTATAAATCACGAATCAAAAGGCTTGTTTTTAACCATGAATCTTAAATCTACAAGACCATAAGATTCAAAGAAACGTTGAATAATAGTTTGGAATATATGATATAATGGATGGATGCCAAAAAAAAAAATGCAGAATTTAATTTGGACTTGTAGTTACTTTCTCCAGGTTTTCTCATGTTTAATTTGGAGTTGCTTCTGTAATGCTTCAAGCAACTAACTACAGTACTAATATACCATGTAACTAAAACTCCACCTTACTAATCAACTAAAATTCTAAATATTAGAGTGCTTATGGAAGTACAATAGGATGGCTGAAAATCATTCCCACCATTACTTTGTTTAGCATTGCTGCTGTGTTTTGCTCAATATGAGGATTGAAGTGTAGGCTTCTATGGTGCCATAGTTGATCTTGCCCAAGAGGTTTTAATTTGAGTCCTGTTTTTGGCTCTTGGGATGGATCATACTGACTGGAAGGCCGAAGGCATCATGCAGTCATAATATACCTGGGAGGAAAAATGACAGTTGCACACTGGACTTTCTGATTTTAAATTATTTTGTGCTTTTTAATAGTAGATCTAGATCTGGTAATCAATGTATTCATAACTCTTGTGGGAATGACAAGTTTATTGGCCTGATGATGCCTTGGCACAGTCTATTATCAAAATATTGGTTCTAGTGATGCCTGCATAAATGCTATCACATGTCAAAGGCTTCCTGTATTGTCATACAAAATCTATGATAAAACCTAATAATAATTCTGATTGTTGTAAATATCCAAAACTGTCAATCGTAAATGGATCAAATAAATTGTCTGTGCCTGATGCATTATTACAGTTGTACTTTGAACAATGTTGTGCATATTTTACATTTGAACTTGTACATCAGTTTTGATTTTTCCTCCTTTGCATCTGTAATCAGGTTGTTGAGAGTGGTGGCAAGAACATAGAAGTTGCTGTGATGACAAAGGATCATGGCCTGCGGCAACTTGAGGAAGCTGAAATAGATGCCATTGTGGCTGAGATTGAAGCAGAGAAAGCAGCTGCTGAGGCTGCCAAGAAAGCCCCTCCTAAGGAGACATGATTTGTTTCTCCCTTTGTGTTTTGCTTTACTGTCGCATTGTGTTGCTAGGCATTGGCCGGACTAGCTATGGGTTAAACTTATGCCATAAATGTCTAATGATTATTCTTATGGGAAAGAAAATGCTGATCAGGTTGTATTGCTTTTTATGCAAGTTGATGACTGTGAATTCAGATTGAAATCAGATGTTTTTTGAGATAAAGCCAACCGATAACAAGATGTTTTGACGCGGATTATGGTTACATTTACCATATCTAATAAAAGGCACGTGATTAGGCTGGTATTGCCAAGTCTTTTTCCTTCGAGCCAATTAGTCTACCGTTGGATACACTCAGCCTCTATTATCGATGGAGTCATCACAATCGATGTCAAATCCTACTAAAATCGAAGTTGTACCACTCCTTTCTTGTGTATAAGCGAATTTTTTTTTTAAAATAGTGATTTTATATATATTAAAAAGGTAATCATCTTGATAAAAGTAAATTGAATTTTTTTAAAAGACAATACCAATAATTTAATTATGTCTTCTCAATGCTGGTGCGATGATTAGAAGTAGAGGTAAAAATTTAAATTAAATTCAAATAAACCTTAAAAATCTTAAACTTAAGTTTGAAAGTTTACAGAATTTTTTTATTTGAAACTTATTTGAGTTGCTTGAATAAGCCTGAAGAAATTTTAGTCAAATTGAACTTAAATGGACTTAGATCAAATACTTAAATTTTTTTATTAGTAATAAAATGAAATTAACCTTACTTCAACTTTAACTTAATAGTCACAAACCCTTCCTCAAGCTCTCAGTTGGCACATTCTGCATTAATAAAGTTTTAATGTTTTCATGATTATTGGTTTTGAATATTTTTTAAAAGCCTTAAGAAAAAATAAACTTCAGAAGTTAATTCATGCATTTTCATTTTTTCAGTACTTGATCTCACTTTAATAAAGATGGAAAGAAAAAGGTCAATTATGAGGTTATGTTGCTTGAAAAATCTTAATTTTTAAGATAACAATTAAAATTGATTCAGAAAAAGAAAATAAAATATAATAATATTTAATAATTTAAGTATTTAAGCTAGCCTGAAAAGTCTTAAGGTGTTAGAGTTATGATTGACTTTATAAATTTTTTTATATATTTGAATGTTTTAAGTTTGGTTCGAACAAGTCCACACACACAAATATATAATGCCCTCCAAAAAAAGAAAAGAATTAAATAGTCAGATAATGTCTGTGACACCTTGAATCCAATCGCCTTTGACATGCTTTAAAATGCACCTAAATAATAATTGAGAGAATTATATTCAGGTTTTATATAAAAAAATTAATTATTATAAAGAGTCTATCGATAACTTAACTAAACTGTATTAATAATATAATCAATTGTCAATACAATTTAGTTTAATTATTAATGAACTTTACAGTAATTAATTTTTTTATATAAAACTTCAATATAATTCCCCCATAATAATTTTCAAGTTTCCATGGATCTTATGCTATTTCCCCCAATTTACTTTTTTATTTCATGGTGGTAACAATAATTAAAAAAAAATAAGTGCCTCATCATTTTTTAGGAGAATAGCACTTACTTCTTAAAATATCAATTTAATAACAATTAGCTCCAAAAAAACTTTGTTGATGATCTTCAAATATTAATTCATATAATTAATTGTAAATATGAGAATTATAGTTGCAAATCAGTAAGAATATTCTTGAGAATTAAATGCCTGATTTACAGCCAACACGCTTATGTTTATAGCTGTCTTTTTTTTTTTTTTCAAGTTATATTTATAACTGTCTGTATATATTTGTGTGTGTTTTCGCAATCGTTTCTTAGTAAAATTATGTAGGACCTAAATAGTTATTAAATTGATTTTTTGACATTTAAGTGTTATTCTCCCTCTTTTTTATCAGTAAAAAATTTAAAAAATAACAAAATTCACATTGAAAAGAGGATATTATGGTGGATTGTGAATTTATGTGGTACATGTATTCTATTTTTTCCCCAATTGATATCTCATTATTTTCATCAATAGTCAAATATGAGATTTCTTATCAAGGTTTGTTCATCTTCACAGCGTACGATGCCCTGTATCTTTCTACTCATTTCCTTCTAATTAAATAGATTCATCTAACCGAAAAGAGCATTGAACAAATACAAAAAAGCACGAGCAATATCACACACACACACACACAGAGAAAATTAAAGATTTAAGGTTCCATGAATCATGCACTGATACATGTACAACGGAAATTGAAAATGATGGAAGTCCCATCAATTACTCCTTTGACTTTATTTTCAAGTTATTTTCACTTTGCATCATAATCATAAATTTTATTAATCCTATTTAAAAATTTAATAAAGTTTTAATTTTATTCTTGTTAACTATATATATATTTAATTTAATTAGAAGAGATTTATTCATTATTATTTTCATATCTAATGGAAAATATTTTTTGTTATCGACAGAACCTACTTTTTATACTCATAAAAAAAACCCTAACATTTAATAACTTTTAGAGCAATTAATAAGGTCAAAAGATTAAAAATATACTTATTTTAATATTATTTATAAGTCATTTTTAATATTTTTATCAAAATTAAGGAAAATATTAAATCTTATTAGCTTTATTTAAAAATTCAAAAAGTTTACAATTTTACTTCTATTAAATATACATATTTTTAAAATTAAAAAATCTAACATTTAATAAACTTCTCTGCATTTAGTAAGGGAAAAAAAGTAAAAATATATGCAATAGTTATTGAGGTATCTTATAAATAGAACCAAAACAAATACTCTATTTTTACCTTATAAATAGGACTAAAGAAAAATTTTAAACTCTATTAATTCTATCTAAAAATTTAATAAATTTTTAAATTTATCCTTATTGAATATATATACTTTAAAAATAAATACTCTAATATTGAATAACCTTTCCAACATTTAATAGAGACAATAGGTTAAAGATAGATACAATAATTAGTGAGGTACCCTTTAAATAAAATCAAAATAAATAATATCTCTACCTTATAAATAGGACAGGAGGCACAAAATCATACATATATACTCCCTTTGGTTTTATTTATAGGAACCACTTTTTATTTTTTTTTTATATAAGCAAAATTATATTTTTTTAATAAATATTTATTATAAATTTTTTAAATTATTCTCATAATTTCATCACTCATAATCATAAAAAATAATTAATAAAAAATTTATTAATATAATTAATAAGGGATATTTTAGTTTAATTTTTATTTTAAAACACAATTAATATAATTAATTAATTTTTTTAAAATGTGTGATATGATTTTTATCCTTCGAAAGGAGTAAATAGGATCAAAGTAAATAAGGGCCTGTTTGGCAATATGTTTTAAAAATAATTTTTTGTTCTGCAGAACAAGAAAATAAAAAAACATATTTGATAACATGTTTTTAAAAAAATTTTAAAAAATGGAGAAACAAAATATTATTCTGAAAAATAAAAAAATAAAAACAACTTTAAAGTATTTTAAGATTATTGTTCTGAAAAATAAAAGAGAATAAAAAAATATAAATATTTTTTTCATTTTCAAAACATGTTTTACAAAACTCTAACTCTTAAAATAACAAAATAAAAATAATTTCAAACAGTGTCTAAATTCATTATCTTGTAAATGGGATCGAGGAGTAATAATTAATAATAATTGCAGCCGCTCGGCTCTACGATCTTAATTATCGTAATTAATGAGGCAACCCCACCTACTCGCTTATGTAATAACCAATATTTATATGTATGACCAGGGCGTGCATGTATAGGATTCATATACCGTATGAAGAAGAACGAAGGACTTGTCTCCTGAGAGCATGGAAGATAATTTGATGGGTTGCTCTGCTGCTCTTTGCCTTGTTATTTTTGTAGCTTGGAAGATCATCTTCCGAACAAAAGCAACATCCAAAAACCTCCCTCCTGGTCCTCCTTCTCTTCCTATGCTCGGCAACATCCTTCAAATACAACGACCTCTTTTTCGCTTCTTCCACTCCCTTTCTCTAAAATATGGCCCCATCTACACTCTCCGTTTCGGGTCTCAGATTGCCGTCGTCGTTTCATCTCTATCAGGCTGTCAAGAGTGCTTCACTAAAAACGACACCATCTTGGCAAACCGCCGTCCCCTTCTGAAGACCAAGCATCTTGCTTATAACAACAAAACCGTCGTCATGGCACCCTACGGCGATTACTGGCGCAACCTGCGTCGTATAATTTCCCTCGACGTCCTATCAGTAAAACGCATCAACTCCTTCCTGAGTATCCGGAACGACGAGATTAAGCTGTTGCTGCGGAAGCTGTGTCGGACGTGTCGCGAAGACTATGCGAAAGTGGAGCTGAGGTCAGTGCTTGTGGATATGTCCTTTAACGCGGCAATGAGAATGGTCTGGGGACAGTGGTTTTTCAACAACGAGTCTGACGTGACCGACGTGGAAGAGGTGAGGCGGTTTAGAGAAGTCATGAAGGAGAGCTCAGCTTTCGATCTGGGAAACGTCGAGTCCAACTTCGGGGACTTCGTGCCTTTCTTTCGGTGGATTGATTATAAAGATTACCAGAAGAGGTTGCGAGGGATCGAGAAGAGACTGGACGATTCATTCAACCAACTCATCGACCTGTATCGGTCCAAGAGGAGAGGGATGGAAGGCCAGAACACCATGGTAGAGCATTTACTAGCATCTCAAGAAACAGAACCCGAATTTTACACAGACGACGTTGTGAAAGCCCTTATTCTGGTCAGTTGTTGTTTTGTATTGTGTTGTTGCTTTTTGGTTATAGTCTCTTGGAAATGATTATGAAAGCAGTTGATTCTGCAGGTGATGGTAGCCAGTGACAATGCGGCCGTGGCACTAGAATGGATGATGGCGAATCTGGTGAACCATCCGGATGAATTGCAGAAAGCGAGGGACGAGATAAAAGCAGTGGTGGGAGAAGAACGGCTTGTGCAAGAGGCTGACGTGCCTAAACTAGGATACATTCATAACATAATCATCGAGAGCATGCGGCTGTGTCCGCCGAACCCATTTCTGAACGTGCACGTGGCCTCGGAGGATTGCAGAGTGGAGGGTTATGACGTGCCACGCGGCACGATGGTGTTTGTTAATGCATATGGGATCCACAGGGACCCGCGATTATGGCCGGAGCCGGCGAGGTTTAAGCCTGAGAGGTACGATAGAGGGGAAGGGGATGTTCGTAATCTGTTATCGTTTGGGATGGGAAGAAGGGCGTGTCCGGGGGAAGCTCTGTCCCTACGAACAATGGGCTTGGCGACGGCGGTCATGATTCAGTGCTTTGATTGGAAGAGGGTCGGCGAGGAAGCACTTGACCTGACTGCCGCTCACGGACTGGTGATGCGCAAAGCCACTCCACTGGAGGTCCTGTGCAAGGCTCGTCCCATTATCAACAAGATTCAATCGCAGCCATAGCCCATAAATGAATTACTTTAATTTAATTTCTCCATCTGCCTGAGTTGTGTGACTGTTCCCTCCTTTCATGGTCTTTTTTAATTGTCCCTATGTACTGAGCTATTGCCTCACTTTTCTGTTTTTCTCACCCAAAAAATATCACATATATATATATATATATATATATATATAAATTGATTAGTTTGACCTCTTAGTGTACATCCTTTTTTTTATCGAATTGAATAACGAGACTTTGAGTCTGGACTAAGCTGTAGGGGTTCGTTTGTTCAAATCATATGAATGCCGAGAGATTTTTTTTTTTTTTTGTGCAGACCTGAATTTGAGGTCATGAAAAGAAATGTCAAACCACTCCATTCAACCAAGTCATCATAGTTCTCGATCACTTTTAAAGTTCTGATGGTTTAAAATAATACATGCTTCATCCTAATTTTTTAAGAAATTTTTTCATCTTAAAATATAAAATATTTTAAATAAATTAATATTTTATTCAATATATTAATTTTAGTATTATTTTTTTTATAATTAATTTTTATTATTTTTATTTTTAATATATTAAATGATAAATATTTTTAAAAGTTTATATTTTTGTTTTAAAAAAATAAAATTATTAAGTGTATTTAATGAGATTTATTGATATAAAAAATTTTATTTAAAAATACTTTATAATTTAAAAAGGAAGGAGTACTATAATTTTGTTGGCAAAAGAGAATAATAACTTAAAATAATTTAAGAAATTAAATATATAAATTATTAATAGTCATGGTCAATATATTTAATGTTTCTTAATTGTCATCGTCGATGTACTAAACGTTATCACCAGTACATTCAATACACAAGCATGCATCTAATTTTTATGATTTTTTTTCAATGTTTATCATTATTCACATTATAGCATTACTCCAATCGAATTTAATGTATGCACTCAATTCAATAACCTTACAAATCGAGTACCAATAGAATTTCTATTAACCAAGCGATTTTAAATTTAATTGAAGTGAAGGGAGGACAGAGGAAGGAAAAAAGAAAGAGAAGGGAAGAAGAAGAAAGTCAATGATATTTAAAAATGTAAGCATTTTGAGTTGTAGCTGTTGCATTGTTGTTGTGGCTGTGAGCGTCAGCGCCGGTATTTCGCTTTCATCATCCTCCTGGATCTCAATTAATAGCAAAATAAGTAATGTTGTTGAAACCGAACCCAAATCGAATGGTCCGACCATCACTCACTGAATAAAAAATGATATGGTTTAATTAATAAAATCAATCTAGCATTTGAACTTAGTTAAAACGGATTGAATCGGTCAGTTTTGAGAGAATTAGTTTTGACTAAGAAATCAAAGCCAGGTCAATCCAGTTCAAAAAACAAAAATTATGTTAAGTCGTTTAAATTCACAATTTCTTTTCTTTAATTACTAATTCTCTCTTTTTTTTCTTTTCTTTAATCTTTAATCTATCTTTCATGACTTAAGCTTAATCTCTAACTTCTCCTACAAACTCTACTTTTAGCTCTAATAATCCAACCTTTGGCATCAAGATTAAAAGATTGTGAGTCATGACATGATATAGTGCCTTCAACTCCAACATTTTTTTTTTTTTTTGAGATCACGAGCTTGTGTTGATATGTTTCTGCCTTTAACTCCAATGGTCTAAGCATATAGCCTTTGAAGTCAAGATCTCAAGCACCATTAGCAAACTAATGTTTTATTTATATAGTTGTACATATAAATATTATTTTTTATTTAATTTGTATGTCACCGGTTTGACTACCGATTTAACCGATTAAACTATAAAAATTGCAACTTATTGCTCTTTTCGGTTTGATGTTCGGTTTAAGTTTCAAAATATTAAAAATAAATGCTTCTTTGAATTTTAAAATTCAAATTTAAAATTAAGAGAAAAGCCACCATAGTTGTAACGTATGCATTAAATACATTGACTCCTGTGCGTTCTATGGTGTGATTATAATTTTTTTAATTAATAACCAAAGGCTATAGTGAAGATTGTACAAGAGGGGAGGATTAAAAAATTAAACATGTTCTTTTATGACAAAACTTAGGTCCAATTCCCCAATCAAATCTTAGCATATTAATTTTGTAAATAACAAAAAGTCACATAGATAAAAATTAAAAATTCTGTTGTTTTAATTGGAAAATTTAACCTGATAAATTTAAGCAAATGGACTTAAATTTTACCTTCTATTTTGTCCTGATGTGATGAATAATCAAATTTTACCTGGCTCAAATTGTGTCTGCAATTCAAGACATAAAAAAATGACGCGCCTATCCTGCCAATGTCGAATTAAACCCTAAAAATAAAACATCATTAGATTTGTTATGTTGAAATTACAGTTGATAATTTATGATCAACTATAATTTAGACTGTGTATAACATCATTTATAATCTGTTTAATAAAATATGAAATTTAAATTATATTTAATATAAATTGATTATAATATTAATGATAATAAAAAGAAAAAATATAATAAATTAAATATGTATTTTATTATAAAAATAAAATAATTAAAAAATGTCAAGTGATGTGATGCATTCAGTTTATTTAAGTATTTATTTTTTGATAAACTATTACCAAGAAATTATTTTTTAATTATTTTTTAAGCTAAAATACAAATTATCTTTAAAGTTTACATGAAAATGCATCTCATATTCTTAAATTTTTTTCTTTTTACGCTTTAACATTTTTTCAATTCCATGCAATGTCGCCACACCGTTAATATTTGATCAAGTTGATAGTTAAATTAAATATTTTGACCGTTATTTATCTTCCTCAAGTACCATGTAGGCATCCACATCTGGTACCACGTGTTCATTTTTCTTCTCCAAATCTAAAAATCAGTTCTTTGATTTCAACCTACGATGAGATTTTTGAAAATCATCAAATAAAAAATATTTTTTAAAAAAATTTACGTTTTAAAATATAAAATACTTTTAAAAAAATAAAATTTTATTAAGGACATGTTTTAAATATTACTTTTATCATATATTTTTTAATAATAAAATATTAAATAAAAAATATTTTTAAAAATTTTTATTTTTATTTTAAAAAAATAAAATTATAAAATATATTTAATAAATTTTATTGATATGTAAAATTTTATTTAAAAAATATTTTATAATTTAAAATGCTGTTTCTCATTTGAAAATCATCACCAGAAGTCCTCTTCTCCACACAAAAATCATAAACCAAAATGAAACCTCGATCAAGCAAATCAGAAACAACAGGGGTTCAACAGATCTGATGAGTCGTCGCTATTTTCAGGTGAAAGCTGAATCGGTTTTTGTTTTTTATTTTAATTTTATAAAATGGCTTCAGATTCGTGATATCCTCTCGCCATAAGTGCTCCTCGAACCTTGATTGCACACAAAATTTCTCTGCCATGTCGAAGGAAGGCGCGAAGGATGCTGCAGAAGCCTTGGCCAATAGAGTCAAAGAAGGAACAAACAAAGCTTTAGAGAAAACGAGAGAGCATGCTTCTGATGCGAAGGACATGGCCAAGGACGTGGCAGACACTGTGACTGTTAATGCGAAGGATGGCCAAGAGAGTACGGAGAGTGCGCTCCTCGAACCTTATTTCTTCTTAATTTCTGTAAATAAAAATAAGTACGGAGAGTACGCTCCTCGAACATTTCACTCGCCTCTCATAGCTTTACCCTTGCTTCTTCTCCGTGCGGTTGTTTCTTCTTTGATCTCTCTCATGGTGGTTTGCAAAATTGCATTTGCCACACCAACCATCATCATCGAGGACGACGACAACGTGAAGACAGCGCCTTCAATTATGATTTTTTGTGTTCAATCTCAAATAACTTTAAGCAGCAATGATTTTGGGTTTCTGGGTTCGATCTCAAACAACTCTGAGCAGCAACAATTCTAGGTTTTTGGATTTAATCTCAAAAAACTTTGAGCAGCGATAATTCTGAGTTTCTGGGTTGAGTATGGATTTATTGATTTTATTGTTTGATTTAATGATTTTGACTAAAATATGAATGGGGAAAGGGAATGCTTGCTGAAATTTGTCATTGAAAACATAAGAATGCGTGCTGAAATTTGTTGTTCTTGATTTCCCAACATTGTTGTATGCATTATGCGCCGGGTATTCTTTCTGAGTTTTGTTTGTTCTTCTGCAGAAATGTTTCTCATTCGCATATTCTAGCGATAGTTGTTGATTTTTTATAAAAACAAATGAAGCAAATGATGCAGAATCGTGGCGGATGGCCATTAAAGGAGGGCAAGATTGTATTGAATTGAAAAATAGAGAAACCAATTGCATTAAAAAAATTTAAGAATATGAAGTACATTTGCGTGCAAATTTTGAGGATAAGTTTATGCTTTAATCTTTTTTTTTTTTCAAAATAAGGTATTCATGTATAAATATGTATTTACAAATTCATTTACGTATTGTCATGAAAACATCTTAAAAATAAACAGCGTGGTTCATGTCCGTGGCACATGTCAACTAACTAAAAATTATAGAAAATCAGAGAATCTGAAACTGGTCATTATAGCAAGGTTGTGGCTTGCTATTTAGGTGGGGTGGGCTAAATTAGCCTACCTCTTAGCAGGTTTGAAAAATTTTATCGTTGGCAAGCCATTTTTTTGAAAAAAATATTTTTTTATTTTCAAATTAAATTACAAATTTTATAGGTTAAATTTAAGTTGTTTTTATATTTTCATAATGTTGTAGGATTAAATTATTCCCAAAACTTGTAAATATAGGCATATAATTTATTTTATATAATTATCCTATCAATATAAAATTAATAAATCAATAAAAAAATGAAAAATTCGACATGAAACAAAATGGATCAAAATCCTCTGCAGTCTATTCTCTAAATTTTTATAAATTGGAGAACATATCAGGGTGTGTTTGGATTTCAATTAGAAAAAATTGATTATTAGAACGTGATGATGTTTTGATAAATTTTTAGAGATTGATTTTGATAAATTGAATATGTTTGGATGATTTTTTGAGAATCAATTTTGAATGTGCAAATAAATAATATAAAGAAAAGGAACCAAATGGAGTTTTGCAAATGAAAGAAATTTCAACTTTTCTAAAATGGAGTTTTCCAAACTAAATGAAGTTTTATAAAATGAGAGTGTTTGGATAAATTTTTATAAAATTATAATTTTAATCCCAAAATTAATTCTCAATGGATATCCAAACTGGTCCTCAGGCGTTCATTAAATCGATCCATAGGAGACTTCCCTGTCACTAAGGATTAGTGAACATTTTTCGATGGATTTCTTTGTCAGACATTTTGTAATACAATGGGAGGACCATTCAGTGGAGCCAGTGTGCATATGTTGCCACGAAATCACACCAGACACTTTTGCGAAAAGTCAGATATTTTTCGAAAGAAGCTTGATTTTCTTGGACAGAAAAGATCGTACAGGAAGTGGAGAGGGAGACAGAAAACAATCGGGATTTTTGACTGATGGAGAAACGTTATGGTCGAAACTCATATGATGTGTGAGAACCTGCATTTCCGGAGATCTGGGTCAAGCATGTGATGAGCCTCAACGCCGATGAGTCTGCCGATAGCTGCATCGTCAGAAGGGGAGAATGCAACGGCAGTCGGCAGGTACAATGACGTTAGGTGGCTGTTGCTCGGGATCACTTCATCGGCTTCCCCACACCTCTCAACAGTGGTGATGGTACTGTTTAGTTTGGTCATGGCTGGGTATCAATCGCCTGTGTTTGACATTGTTTAAAACTACAAGCAAAGATCCTTCAAGCCTTGGAGACTGAATCAGAACGAAATCGTATGGAGTTGGATTTGGAAGCTTTTGACTCCAAACTTACCGTAAAAATAAAGCAAAGATTACGCTGAAATGTAGAATAATTTTTTGACGGTGTAGATAGGGTGGCCTGTAGCGCCTTTAAATAAATTAGAAGGAAAAATTCTAACACAACCCCCCAATTTTTTTTTTAGTATGTTCACTATGTTGGCCGATCGGGTTTAACCTATTTTTTCTGGCACTATTAATCATATTACGCAAATTGAAATGTAATTACTAAATCATATACTGATACTTCTTTGTTTAAAAATATAAAATATTTTTAAAAAATTAAATATTAAAAAATATAAAATACTTTTAGTGTTTTAAAATATAGTTAACATGTTTTTTTCAAAAAATAAACCTGCCAAATAGATTATTTTTATATTTACTTTAAAGTAAAATAATTTATTAAATAGAAATAAATATAAAAAATAATATTAGTATCAAGATAACTAATTATTTTATTGAAAGCATAATTTAATTAAAAATATTTTATATTTTTAAACGGATAAACTATCATAGAGTAGTCCGGTTTTTTTCCCCTTAACCACCGGATACTTTAAAGTTTAAACTACTCTTCGAGAAAATGAATTGATCGTACTACAATTATTTACCGGTAAACCATAGTGGATTTTCAATTTTGATGGCAAAAATAAGAGTCTGCTTCTATCCTCCACGCATTTCCTCCGCTGCACCTGCTCTTAGTCTCTAAAGATATATGAACCGTCCAGATAAAAAGACTTGTATTTTATTTTTATTTTATATTTTGTTAAACTAAAATAATCGTAAAATCTTTAAGAAATTCGGTTATCATTAATCTTGATATCTATATCTAATCCAGATGGTCTAACTTTAATATTTTTTTATAATTTTTTATAAATTAATTACGCAGATTTACTTTAAACAATTTAGATTTAGAACTTTTAAATTGCAATTTTTTGAAAAAATTGGGAAGTGCCAATTAGAATATTATCTTTATTTTTATTATTGTATTTTCCAAAATAAAAAATTATAAACAATTTAATATTAAATTTAGATAATCTAAAATTAATATGCATATTCAATTTATAAAAATATAAAAAATAATATTAAATTTAAAATATTCAAATTAAATATGATTTATTCAGATTAGTGATGACCAAATTTATTAAAAAATTTATATTTTTTAATTTTAATAAATATAAAATAAAAATAAAAAAACTTTAAATTTAAACCATCCATATGTCGTTAGAGATTCAAAAAGGGCACAGGGTATAGATCGTACCGGGTAAAGAAATTTGACACCAGAAAAAATTGTGGATTAACTATTGCAATAAAAAAGAACATAATATATTTAAGAATAAAATACAGTGATTCCCTTCCATTTTGTTAAAATTATAGAGACTTTTTTTATATTTTTAAAACATACACTTTAGTCTAATTTTTAACACTATTAAAAATATTCTGTCAAAAATTTTAAAATATTAAATTTCTTTTGGCCAAAATATACTTTTAATCCTTTAACTTTATGTAAGATTTTAATTTTATTCTTTAATTTTATAAAATATTTTTTTAATCTTTTAATCCCAATATCATTAGTTTTAAATAATTATTTTTTATGTCAATAATTATTTTTCAGAAAAAATTAAACTTAATGCGTCATCATTTGATAATAATTTCTCAATATTTGAAAGTTTAAGGTAAAAATTTATTAAGATAAAACTAATAGTATTATGGTTAAAGTATTAAAAAAATATATTATAAAGTTAAGAAACTAAAATGAAATGTTGTGTAAAGTTAAAAGACTAAATATATACTTTAGCTAATTTTTTATTTATAATTATGTTAACATTTTTAAAATTATTAACTTATCCTTATGATCTAGTTGTCTTCTCTCTCTCTCTCAATTAAAAAAAATTTAAATAATTAAGGATGTCGATATTTAAAGAAATAATTTAAAAATTGTGTTAAATTTAATGAATTTTAAAGAAAAATAAATATAAATTATATTAAGTAATTTATTGTGGTAAATTCTTATTTCATAAATATTTTAACTCTTTGACTGCTTGAATATTATTATATATTTGATTTTTTAAAAATTACTAAATAAATACATTTAAAAAATCAAAAAATTTAAAATATGAACAAATATGTAAAAAAATATATACATTAATTTTTTTCATAATTTCAATAATTTTTAGATAGGGTATTTTGACCAATATATATAAATTAACAGTCAATTAATAATTATATAAATAAAAATAAAAACTTAAAAATAAAAAAATATTTATTTTTTGTAATTATTCATATTAAAAAATGTTTGTATGAGTTTTAAAATAAGAAGAAAGATATTTATAATTAAAATAAAATTGGAAGAACGTTAGAGTATTTAACTCTATTTCTTACTCACGGAACTCCCAGTCCTACGCTCTTAGTAGCCTTGGCCACAAAATAAATAAATAAATAAAATAAATAAAAAAAGACACGAGGAGGAGGAGAAGAAGAAGAAGAAGAAGACCCTTAGTAGCCGTTCAAGAGAGCCCCAAACCCGTTTTCAGGCGATCCATCCTGTGTATCCCAACGGCTAGTTTTATAACGGTAAGAAAGTTCAAACCTGCCCCATTTAAGTCAGACCGGCCTTTCGCTTCTCTGCCGCTTCGTCTTCGACGTCTCATCCTACTCCCTCTCTCCCTCTCTCTCTCGGTCCTCTGCTTCTAACCGAATCCACCAGCAAAGAATTGCTTTTTTCCCCCTTCTGTCTAATTATTTTTCTGTAGAACTGTAATCCAATCACAGATAATCTTCTTATTTCATAATGTTTCAAGACATGTGGAATGCTCCCCCTGGTTTCAGACCCTCCAAGTCTGCTCCATCTTCACCGGCGAAGCCTCTTGGGGTTCTCAGAACTCGGTCGGAATCCTTCCATGTGACGCACAAGGTCCCTGTAGGTGACACTCCATACGTCAGAGCCAAAAATGTCCAGGCAAATTTCTTGGGTTTCTTAAATTGACCCCTTCTTGGATTTTATAATGTTTGGACTCGTGAGATTCTCTTGTTCCTTGTTTTTTTAACAATTTCCTCGTTCAGCTGGTGGAGAAGGACCCAGAGAGAGCCATTCCTCTATTTTGGGCAGCTATAAATGCAGGAGACAGAGTAGATAGTGCTTTGAAAGATATGGCTATAGTAATGAAGCAGCAGAATCGGGCTGAAGAGGCCATTGAAGCTATTAAATCGCTTCGAAGCAAATGTTCAGATCAAGCCCAAGAATCTCTTGATAATATCCTCTTAGATCTTTACAAGGTTACTTGCTTCTCCCAATTTAACTTCTCTCTGTTATGTATCAGAAAAAATACTGACAAGCTTTCTCTTTGACAGAGGTGTGGGAGACTGGATGATCAAATAGTTCTCTTGAAGCATAAACTGTACCTAATCCAACAAGGTTTGGCTTTCAATGGCAAGAGAACGAAGACTGCCAGATCCCAGGGAAAAAAGTTCCAAGTCTCTCTGGAGCAAGAAGCCACCAGATTACTGGTAAGAATAGAACAAAAGCCGGGATAATTTTAACCCTGGTTTTCTAAGACTCAGGAAGCTAACTTGTTCTGTGCATGTTGTATAAATATAGGGAAACTTAGCGTGGGCACTGATGCAGCAGAACAACTACATCGAAGCAGAAGATGCGTACCGTAGGGCACTTTCAATCGCGCCTGATAACAACAAGATGTGCAATTTGGGCATCTGCTTGATGAAGCAAGGTAGAATTTCGGAGGCTAAAGAGACTCTGAGTCGGGTAAAGCCAGCAGTTGCAGATGGCCCTAGAGGCTCAGATTCTCACTTGAAAGCCTATGAGAGGGCACAGAAAATGCTGAAGGATCTGGAGTCCGAAATGATGAACAAGGGAGGGATGGACAGGGTCGAACAGAGCAGGCTCTTCGAAGCTTTTCTGGGTTCTTCGTCAATCTGGCAGCCTCAACCTTGTAAAGATTCTACCAATACCACTAGTAATACAAATAACAGTGCCAATTCCATCAAAACCCGATATGATTTCGCTGATGAGAATATGAATTCGAATATAGTACCCAATTTCATGCAAACGGGTGTTACTAGTAGCAAGCAACAGGTTATCCCACCATTGGGGAACTCCCTTAATGTTGCGGCTCCACCATTTTATGCTTCAAAATCCTTTAATAAAGAGCCTATGTTGTTACGAGAACCAACTGGGAATCATCCTCCTCCTCCTCCTCATCATCATCAATTCGCGGAGACTCTAAAGAGGACAAGATCTGGAAATGCTGCGGGAACAATGAGAGTGAACGAGGTAGGGGAGATTAATAATACGATACAGAGGGAATCAGGGGTGCCCGAGAACAAGACAAGAAGGCTTTCAGCGGAAAGTGATGGGGACAAGCTAACGGAGTTGTTGCCGAACAACAAGGACTTTGAAGATGCTATTCTTGCTGCGATTCTGGGGCCGACGGAGGAGTCAGATAACACTAGTACGTCCGGGATATTCCAGAGGAAAATTGACAAGCGGCTTAAGGTGTTTCAAGATATTACTTTATCCTTGAGTCCGAGGGCCTAAGCAAATTTTATTTTAAATTAATAAAAATATTCTCAATAAAAACTCTTGTAATTTTAGGACGGGAGATGAACTTGTTCTCCATTTAGTTCTGTCCCTTTAGAGGACTATGCAGCATGATAATCAGTTCTGCCAATAGCTGTAGCTACATGGCAGGTTACAACAAGTAGCAGTAGTAGTCGTCAACATGTCTTGTTCCCATTTATTTATTTGTTAAGCCTTGTAAACGAGGCACACCATTGACTTATAATATGAGATGGATGTCTTTGAGATGATTTCCCCATTGCATTAGTTATTTCCCAACGTTCAATTTAGTAATAGAATTTTTTTTTTTTAACCCATTTGAGTGTTTTCTGCAAAGAGCACCTTATTTGATGTTAAAAGGATTGCACAAGGGGGAACGTTGATGACATTTACAGGCAACAAACAAGTATTTCCATGCGCATGGGCAAAGGGGAAGGCGGAAGTCACCAAGCCTCTCTAGCCCTGAGTCGGAAGAATCTTCGAAAAGAGCATCCTAATCTTGATGAAAAAAATCTGGACTGAACAACGCGGCTTGAAGCCTAGCTCTGAGAGTTTCTTGTGGGAAGCTGCATAATCTACGAAAAAAGCATCCTCATTCTAGAGCAACAAATTACAGTTTTATCAGCGGAAGGTCTCAAGTATAGAGCCAAATGGGAAAGGAAAACTAATAATACCTCTGCGTAAAGCTCCACATACTCGCGGAACTCAGGATCCTCCGCCAGAGCCTTGTCTGTGGGAAGCTTCAATAAATTGTCGTCACTTGGCTCCTCTCTCAGCAATTCCCTGCGTACAATTTCAATTCTCGTACACTATATTCATTACCCCCAAAATAGCTGTTTATTCTTATCACCTCAGGCTCAGCGGCTTACTTAAAATAGGAATTATCAAACTTCATGTAGTCCCTGGTCCATGGGCCTTCAAAGCCTGACCGTTCTCTATGTGCCTTGCCCTAATTCCTTAAAATCAGATAATGAATTTCAAAGTGTTCTTCAACTATATGATTAAGTAGTTTTGGATGCTTCATCATATTACCAGTGTGTGGCCTCCGGAGAGAGCCACAATATCTTTATCAGTGAGACCCATGCGATAAAACACCTCCCTTAAATGCGTTGCACCTGAGGTCATACCATCACAGTTAAGTCAATCATCAACGAAAAGTTTCGAGCGACGAAAAGAGAATGATACCCCACACCATTCCCGGATAACGGGATAATTGGATTACGGGATCATTGACAATTGCAAGAACTATTGAAATAGAAACTTCTCTGTTTTTATTTACAAAAAAAAATTATCACTTTTTACTTATTTTTTTATATATCAAAATCACTTATTTTAATAGGTATTTATTATATATTTTTTAAATCATCATTTATAATTTATATTAATAAAAAATAATTAATACATGCTCGCATGGATTGACATAAAGCATTTTAATCTAATTTTTTTATCTTTAAATATAATTATTATGATTAACATAACTGATATTTTCTCTTAAATATGAAAACGGCGAGAGTATTTAACAATTGAGGTGTTGATTGAATTCAATCAACGAATCAAATATCAGCCATTAAATATCACAATATACTGTTAGTTTTAATGTAAGTTATCTCAAACATTCAGAGTTTGCCCGAAAGGTTTAATACCTTGTTTAGCATCTGGAAGCCGCCCTTCTTCTGGGGACATCATTAAATCCTGTTCAAGAAAAGAACAGTCATTAAATGGCTACTAATTAATGAGCTAAGATCTCTAATGTGCAAAGAATAACAAGAGTCATAATGGCTATTAACCACTTTTTCTATCCCTATATGTATGAAGGGCAAAAGCTTATTTTGTTCTAAAATATAAGTAGTGTCATGATATTTTTAAATAATTAGATAATTTTATCTTTATCTTGAAAAAAAAAAAAAATTAATTGTGTACTTTACTTTGTCACTATGATATTAATTTCTATTATTAGAGGCAAAATTGAAAAATTACTTTGATTTAATGAGATTTCAATTAAATTATAATTTTTTATTGGTATTAAAAACAGCTTATATGTAGAGAGAGGGAGGGTAATGGGCTAAGGCTAAGGTTCTCTAGTGTGCAGAAGAGAATGATCCCCCACACCATTAATTATATAGTTAGAGCTGCTGCCATGACCTTACCTTTCTGCCTGGAATGAAGTCAATTGTTGGGCCCCCGGTGATCTCTACTGCAACAACACCAGCAAGCTAAAAGGCAATCATATGTATATACAAGTTAGTCAATGACTAAGCATATGAAACTCTTAATATATATGAGGTTTCTGGAAGCACCGTCCTATTTTGTTGGTCAGAGGACGAAGCTTATATGTCAAAGCCAGTAAAATTCTCGACAACAAAGAATAGCGGTTTAGCACTCCATAAAAGTTTTTAAATCACCTGGTACAGATCCGCATATGTGATTTTTGAATGTTTGACCTTCACATCCTCTGCTCTCAAAAAATACCACATAAAGTAAGGGAGGGGAAAAATGTATGTGGATCCAGCGAATTAAAGGAGAAAACTCACGGCAAAGTTCCACTGCTAGTTTTAAACCATTGTTTGCGCTGTGATTCAACTCCTGCTCGCTTCTGATTGACCCGTTAGGACCTCCTGTTTTTGTCTTGGCATCGTAGGTTCCAGCGTCATGCCACCTGCAAATATATACAATCTCGTCAATATCCAAAAAATGATTATTAACATGTAACAGCCCGGAATTTAATTCAAATCCGTCGCGAGGTCACTCAGTCGGAAAATGCCAGAAGAATTGATGATCATTTCATTTGTTTAAAAAATTTCGCCTCTGCAACCAAAGGGATCGAGCATGATGAGAAAAGAAGAGAGAAGCAATTACGCCAAACGAAGCATGAGAGGAGCGCAGTTCTTGCTGTAGATGAGAGCGCGAAGGTCGCGACGGGCCTTGTCGATCTGCTTGACATAATCTAGGTCAACACGAGGAGCCGCCATTTTCAACGCAACGCGAGAGAAGGCGCGAGAGAGGCATTATGAAGATGAAGTTGTGACTGACTTGAGAGTAAGGGTTTAGGCTTGCATGGAATCTAAGTAAAAGCATCTGTTCTTGTCTTCTCCGGCAAGAGTAGAATCATAACAACCTTTATCTTCACTGCAACTTTCAGAATAAAACTCCTTTCCATCTCTCTAGAAAACCTTCAAGGAAACGAATCGATTTTCTCTTTATGTCAAGCCAACCTGGCCGGAGTATACTCGATTAAACAAACCTCTAATTTTTTCTGCTTTGCACCAGCAGTGCTTAGTATTTGAAACCAAAAAAGATAGTTATCGAGCAATGCAGAAGGAAATACTTAAGCTTCGTTTGAATTGAGAGAAAACATGTTAAGAAAATAAAAACCTGATTGGTTTTTAAGATTATTTTTAAAATAAAATGAAAGTGTTTGATTATATCAATTAAAAAATAATTTTAAAATTAAAAAATAAATTGACAATGATAATTATATTCAGTTAATGATGATGCTTAATAAAAAAAATTGATTAAGATAATTATAATTTTTAATAATCAAATACAATATATATTTAAAAAAATAAAAAAATAACATAAAATTTTTTTAATTTTTTTTTTAAAAAAGAAATGAAAGCCATTTTAAAAATAATTAAATGAAAAACACTTATACAAACGGAATTTTAAATTTTTTTTGTTAAAGAAAACAGTTTTTAAAAATTGAAAACAAACCGGTCCTAAATTTTGCTCTATTTGAATAAAGAAAAAATAAAAAAGAAAAGAGAAGTGAAGTGAGGGAAAACATTGAGTGTGAGACTTATTATAATTTTTTTGAACGTTTCTTTTTATAAGTAGAGAAATTTTGGATGTAAAATTTTTTTTTTCTATGTTTTCACGGTAACACAACTTTTATATTTTTATTTTTCTAATTGTTTCCAATCTCAGGCATAACTGAATAAGACATTTTAAAAAGATCAGAGAAAAAACAGGAAGTATAATATCAAGGAAAACAATGCAAGAATTGAACTTTCGACATTTCTAATATAAGAACTGAGCCTCGTCGTTTCCAATCTCAAGCGGAGAAAAATCTCCAACCCTTGGCAATATACTGTGGAATCTTTTATTTAATTTTGAAAAGTGCCCACTTTTAAATTTTTTATTAACATAATCAAATTAGTAACGGTGAGAATATATATTTTTTACGTTATGTTATTTAATTTTAAAAAGTATACTTTTATTTTTAAATATAAAAATAAAATATTTTTATTAAAATATTTAATTTTAAAATATAATAACATGAAAATATATTTTTAACAACTAATTTAGTATGTTAATTTTAATATAATTTCTGCTTTCAATTTTTTTAGAAAGATAATTACATAAAACATGATATATTTTGGCTTTGACATAAAAGTATCATAATTATTATAATATTTATTCTTTTTTTTCTCTCATGTCCATCAAAACACAAGGAAAAATAACATTTTTTTATTTATTTTTTTTCTTTATTTATCTTCTTTCCAAATTTTCTTTCTATTAAACGGATAGCTGCATTCTTATTCATTTAAGGTGTTTATTTTCATGTTATAATAAACTCTTATTATTAATATTATTGACATATTAAAATTAACTTATTTTAATTTTACTAGATAAAAGTACATTGAATATGTAAAACTAAGTATTTACGTCTTAACCTAAGGTAAATACATACTCTCATTTTTTAAAATATAAAGCATTTTCTAAGACGTTGTATGTTAAAAAATGAAAAACATTTTTGGTATATCAAAGTATAATTAATGCATTTTTTTAAAAGTGCCCATAATAAATAAATTATTTTATATTTATTTTAAAGTAAAATATCATATTAAATAGAAGTAAATATAGAAAGATGTTGTTAGTTTGAAGACAAATAACTATTTTATTAGAAGTAAAATTTAGTTAAAAATGACTTATATTTTTTAGTTTAGAAAAAATGAAGTTCTTTGTAATGATTAGAAATTTATTTGAGCTTATAAAAAAATATTTGTAAGGTATTGGGATGTTAATTTATGATATATTTTTATGCAAATTTATAGAATAAAAAGGAGAAAAATGATGATACTAAAAATGAATTAAGAGCTAATTATAGCTATTTAGTGTTTATAAATTGTTGGAAGAGGGTTTGAATTTTGGTTAGTCATACTAACCTCAGAATTGGTATAAACAATGAAAATTAAAGTATAAGCTTTGCCCCTTAACTCTAAAATTAGAGTTGTTTTGTTAGTTTCAATAATTGAAATTAATATATTATAATACAATGCTATATGTAGATTGTATTGTTAGTGAAAACTATAGCGAGAGAGAAATGTAAGGGGTAAATTATTATTGAAGTTACAAAGTAACCATGTTTTAATTTGAAATTTGTGTTGCTTACTATTTGTGTAATTATTGAGTAAATATATTAAAATGCTGTTGAGAAAATATGTTGATATGTTTATTGAAAAATTATGAATATATTTTTGAAATTGCTTGACTCTCGTAAAAAGTGTTGAGAGACTTCTTGTCTTTGTATTTTGTGCTACAAAGTACACCTCTATTGAAGGCCCAATAAGTGACTTGTAAGAATTCAAGCTAGTCTGTTAGGTGATCTAGTATTGAGTAAGGGTTATGACTTGAAGTTAATAGAGGAAGATAAGGATGATTGTTTCACCACTTAGCAAGTATACATATAACTGTTTACACACATTATTATAAATTGACATTGTTTACTAGAACGTTTGAATTTCATTATGTGGTTAATAATTTTTAGGAGAAGAGCTAAGAGTGGCACATGAAGAAGCCCTTTAGGCTTAGTGGTATGGATTAGCTACCTCTTTTAGGTATTTTAGCTTATGATTCTAATGAAGTTTTGTCAATGTTATGACTTTTTATTTATTGTCAATTATATGGATATCCTTGTGTGATCATGCCCTCTATACTATTTGTGCTTTTGGTATATTTTGGGTGATTGTAACCTTAAAGTATGATTTATTTTGAATAGTTTAAAATGACTTGATTATGAGATCAAATGTTTGGCTTGTTTTGAAAGTGGTTTTAACTATCTATTTTCATAATAGGCTTTGGTTTGTATTGTTGAGAGTAGGTTGGAGAAATGATATTCTTGCCTATTGACATGTGGGAGGATAAATTTAATTGTGACATCATGTTGTGTGGACCAAAGTCAAATGTTAGATAATTATATTTCAAGTTCTCTTGACATAAATTATGTTAGGTGATTGTAACCTAATTATAATTATAGATATATGAGTAATAGTAAGAATTGTTTTGTGTTATTCCAAAAGGTTGCCAAGTGTTTAGAAGTTTTTTTGTGCAATTCATAACTATTTCTAATTTCCTAATCTATTTTGTTTATTGTGTTTCAATTTTTAAATGGAATTATATGGGCCTTTCATATTTATTTTTATTGTTAAATGCTTGAAATCCTAAATCTTGAAAATGACAATTTGAGAAGCTTAATTTTACTTACCATAGTTATCCCTTTTCTATCATGGTAGTATTTCCAATTAAAGATTTGTTTCAAAATAGATAGAGGATTAGTCGACTTCTGTTTATGATGACAGTGTAACATCCTAAATTTTTAACCTAGAACCTTAAGAGTATGCTTGAATTCAGCAAGCTACTAAGCCCAAGTAATTAAGAGTTTTAAAGATGCCATAAAAAAAAGACAGGATAGTTTTTAAGAACCAAATCATAATTTTTTAAAGACTTTTTGGGCAAAAGTGTAATATTTTTTGAGATTTCAAAGAAGTGCCCAAAATTGAAAAATAAGTAAGTTAAAGTCTAAAAGTGTCTAGGATAGGCAAAAAGGAGTAAATGAGACCTCAAAGGGTAATAGATGTATCTAAGACTAGTCTTGAAGAATAATTAATAAGTTGTTAGATTAAACAAAGGTAAAGTTATTTGACAATATGTCCAAAGTCTTTTAGAGACGTATCACAGTTTGATCCTAAGAATCAAAGTAATTTAAAAAGGACTCAATGAGATCGTAGTTAGATTTCAAGATTGTAGTTAGATCTCATGATCACAATAGACCTAATAGAAAGTTACTGATCCATAAAATATGTGACAATTATCTAGGAAGATAGTAGCCATAGACTTCTTAAGTTTGGCTAACTAATACAGAGAGAGTATACTTATCTTTTTTTTAGACATCTCAACTGTTATCAAGGCTAAAAAAAAAATAGAGAAGAAAAATAAGTAAGAGTAAAAGCTTATCCAAGACTAAATAATAATTATTAAAAGGCAAAGGGTACTTAATTATAGATGAATACTATGAGATTATGAGAAATTTCTTAGAGTTAAAATGAACAAAGAGTGAACATTAACCTAAAAATATCATGCTAAAATAGGTTAGAATGTAATTTTTTAAAAGTTTTGTGTCTTAAAGTGTAATTACAAAAAATTGCCAAAACTTAGGAAAAATTAAAGTAAATTAATATATGAAAGGAAGAAATATTTAGAGTAATTACACCAATTTTATTGGTTTAGAAGTGCTCATATAATTAATTATGAAATGTATTTCCTATTAAAACTAAAAAAAATGCAAAAATTATTGCCTAAAAATATCAATTAATCAAAGGTATCCCCAAGCCCATCTAAAGAGCATAAATGGCGTGAAGAGGGGCAGATTGATATAGAATTTTATGGCCCCAATTTATTAAATAAGTGGACAGAAATTTTAACAAAAACAGAAAGTAAATGGCTTAATTTGGACTCCAAAATAGTTTCCAGTGTGGTTCATTACCCCACCACCTTCCTTCACCAATAAATACCCTATTCCGCTCACTTGCTCCTCACAATTAGATTGGAGGTCTTGGCCAAATTAGAGAAAGAATGGGAGGCTGAAAATGAGGTAGAGAAAAGAAAGAAGAAGAAAGGGAAGGACAAAAGGTGCGAGGTGGGAGAGGGAGCAAGGAGTTAAGGTAAGCTCTCTCCTTTCCTTCATATTCTTAGTTTTAGTTTCTCTAGTTAAG